TACAGCGACTTACCCTCCTGGCTTTCTGCTCAGAGTATTACCAGGGTAGCTGCGAGGCAGCTCTGGGCTCCAGGGGCTCTGATGCTGGGAGGAGAGAAGGGAAATGTGTGTGTGTGTTTGTTTGGGTTTGTTCATGTTCTGTGGGGGATCCCAAGCAGATTTGTTTACTGGTAATTAATTCACCTGATTGACATAACAGCTGCCAGAGCAGAGTTTGAGTGTAATACTGAGCACGTGTGAAATGCATTCTAATGATGTGTGTACTGTACATGGGCATGTGTGAGTCTACTGGGGGAGTGGCTCTCGCCCTTCAGTTGGTTGGTGTCTCCAGCTCTTCCAAAGAGTAAATCTTCTTGGCTCAATGCTTGCTAATAGTCCCAGTGGTGATTTGAAATAGTTCATGTCTTTATTATCACCCGTCCTGGGTTTTGGGGATTAGGAATTGAACCTAGAACCATGTACATGGTGACTGGAATCCTTCGATGTCAACCTTCTGGAAATGTTTTGTTGTTGTGTAGCATTGTGTATTTTGTTCATTCCGATGGTGTTTAGTGCAGTTGTGATAACACCCCATTAGGAACCAAGAGAGAATCCCTGCAGAGTCTGACAGAAACGTGTCATACTGCACTAACAGAGCATGGTTTTTATTTAACAGAACTGGACGTGACCATGTAAACACGAGGGTTCACAGGCCTCACAAATAGTCTCAAAGAAAACAGTAACACCAAAGAAAACCTAGTTTCCATTCATGTTTGGACATGAACTCGTATCTCACTGAATGAGCCTGACTTGAAAAAAAATTCTTGTGCGTCATGGACACGACTTTACATTAACAGATGTCTTTTAGCAGTAATCACAGTTTGTACTTTGTAGTAGAGATACATACACACACACATCATTTTTCCAAACAGTTTTTGTACGATGTGGGTCTGTGTTCGTGGCCACTTCTCTTTGTTTTCTCTCCCCGGCGCAGTGTCAGTGCTGTTGTGGCCGACAGGTAGTTGTGTGTTGGCCTGTGTCTGTACCCTGATAACAACAGATCCATTACCCCCTGGAGCCGCGGTCTGATCCCTGCACAGATAGAAGCTCTCACTCACTGTCTGTGGACTGTCCAGCAAAACCAGCTGTGGGTCTGACACATAAGAGCTACAGAGGAATGCATGTAAAGTCAGTAGTAGCACCACTTTTCTGTCATGTGATAAACTGATATTTTTGTATTCCATTTTTGGTGACAGAATGATCTTTTAAATGATTTATTTATTTTCACAGATGATGAAGAGGGATTTTTGGTTCTTTTTTTGACGATTTAGGGCATTGTTCGCCAACCAAATTTTATTAGCATGCTAGCTCAGCCTGACTGCACAATAAATATATATAAACAATTGTAATATGATTCATATTGTTACTAATGTACATCAGATTGATGTAAATGTGAAACAGTATTACACACTCAAGTCATATGATGTGAAAAAATTAAGAATTTATGTGGTTAGTCATTACCATGGATTTTTCTTTTTTCATTTCACACCAGTAGAAATAGACCACAATTAAATTGCTTTTCTTACTAGTAGAAAGAAAAGTCCACCTTTTTATGGCAGCCCACCACAGCTCTTGTGGTGGACATTGGAATTACAGCCATGCTGCTACTGTTTTGGACCATTTTTTTAAAATGTTCGGAACAGCAGTCTAACATACAATGATTAAGTCCTTGATGACAGACGTTCTACACTGCATGTCAATCAAGCTCAGTGGTGAAGAGCAGACATCCCACGGTAATATCTGTGCTTTTCACAGATACGGCTCTAATGAAGTATCAGTGTCATCAAGAGGGCACAGTGTGCAGCCTGATGTAATGAGTGGCCAACCAGGTTTAGTTTCCATTGTATTTGTTAGGTAAAAAAAAACAACAGGTAGCCTTGAAATTTAAATGAAACAGAGAACCGCTAGGTCACTATTTATTCTAAACAATGATTTGCCCCTGGTGGAGTGATGATGTACTATTTACTGGCGATAAATGTTCAGTAAAGAATCTTTGATGGAGAATCACAGATGTCATTATGGCTGTACTGTTGTACATGTGAGGGTGAATGGTTCTGAGGTACTGTGTATATGGCAGAAGGATTTCATGAGAGCTTCTGTCCTTCAGTACTAAACAACAAAGGGAGGGAGGAGACGAATGTGTCACATTTTTTAACATGTGAATTAAGTACTGCACGGCTGAAAAAAGTTCATTCAATCATTATATATATATATATATATATATCTTACCAAAGTCAGTCATGGAATAAATCAAACCTAGTCCTGTTGTCCGTGTGAGGTGTGAGTAAGGAGCGTAGTGTGTGTACGGAGTTTACACAAAACAGGTATTAACAGCAGAGGAAGAAGAGGGAGATAGCAGCAACAAACAGGGCAGCTATCAAAGCCACAGGCTGCTTAAACTCCATCTCCTTCTGCTAGTTTTTCTTTCATTTTCATTATTCAATCTCTCTCTTTCTCTCTCTCTCTCTCTCTCTCTCTCACTCTCTGTGTTTTGCACTCTCTCTCTCTCCCTGGCCATGCTGATGATTGACGGCCTGAGGGTTTTAATGGGCACTGGAGAGCAGGAGCTGAGGTCGGGGTTGTCATGGCAACTAGGAGACGGGGCCTTTTGCTGCTGCTTCACCTGAGTGCTGTGGAGCCACACACACACACACACAGACACACACACACAGACACACACGAACATGCCAGCACCACCTTCATTCACTCTTCCTTCCTTCCCTGAGATGCCCCAGCGTTCATCCTGCCATATCTGCTGTTTTTTTCTCTACTTTTTTCAGTTCCGCCCTTCTAATTTTTCATCTTTCCATTTGTCCCTTTGTTTTTTGACACAGTTCACAGTTTGTCAGAAAAAATCGGTGCCTTTTTTTGTGCCCATAAAAAAACGTTTGGTGTTACACTTATACTTGTGAAAAAATTAGCTTTTTATTTATGTACATATATATTTTATATATATGTACATATACGTATGTACATATATATAGTATGTACATATATATATATATATATAGGGAGAGAGAAGGATGGATTATAAGGACATTTTGGTAAATATTCAAATGTTATTTGCAAAGATTGTAAAGATGGCACTGTAATACAGCATTAAAATGCCTGGTGTTTGTGTTTAAGGTAGTAGTTAGTATTTGTCCATATCCCTTAATGTCCTATTTCCTGTATACTCCTCCATATCCTGTCTCTGCAGACACTTATACTCTTATTGATTTTAGCTTCTCCTTGTCAGTCTTCCTTTGATTGACACCAGCAGACGTTCTTGTCTCACCCTTTGTGTCTCTCATGCACAGCGGCTCCTATAGAGTCACACAGCTTAACAGTGACTTTGTGCGAGTGCACGTGTGTCTGTGCACGGCGTCATAGCCCGGGGCCTGTTAGTCAGTGTCTGGGCCACGCAGGTCAGTCGAAAGGTTGGACGGATTGTTTGCTCTGGACGTAAGTGAAGCTCTAGTTACAGTGGGGGGAAGGGAAGGAAGAGATTTCTCTGTGTACATGATTGTTTCCCTTGTGATAAATTGAAAAGGCAAACGAAATGATTTGGCTTTAGTTCTTTTTTTGTCGTGCTGTCGTCCCTTGGCTGCTAATGTAGTGATTCAGTTACAGCTGTAGAATGTCTCAGATTTTGAAGCCACTTCAAGATGTGAAATGAATGGATGGATGGATGGATAGATTCAATGATAGAGAAATGTGTGTATGAATTGATAGATATAGTTTAAGGGGAACCTGCATCAGAGACGAGCCATCAGCCAACATGAAGAATCCTGTGATTCCTGTTTAACAAAGTAGAAACACTGAAGTATATGCTTAAGTCATTGCCTTTGCTTTTTGTTTCTTCCCCCTAAGTTTTGAAACTTGGAACAGGACATTTGGAGTGTGACACGAGTGCAAACACTCACTTGACTCACTTTTATGTGATGCAGGCTATCTCTATATAACATAAAACATTCCGTAGTGCACATGTATGAGTAGGCTGATGATGTACTGTAAGACATTCTCAAAGCTGTGTCCTCAGTACTTGGACCAGATTTTTACCCTGCCCCCTGCCCCTCCTCTTTTACCTGTTGGTGTGGAATAAGAATAAGTGATTTGATTGGCTCACAAAGCGTACATTGAGAGTGGGTGTGCAGGTAGGAAGGTCAGTCAGACTAGAACGCACTCAACTAGTTCATTCATCCATCCGTTTTCTAATGTGAAACACTTGCCTTTTTCAGTAGGAATGAGCCACGTGGGCCACCGTGTGGCGCTGCTACTGATCCAATCCAAATAAAATTATTGTAAAATGACAAAATGAATGTGAGTCCCTGCCTGATCTTCCTAACAGACAATCAGTTGTTCTGAGTCATAATGACAGTAAAATAATCCAACTAGAGCTGATTGTCCTCTTATAATCCTCCTGAGCTTTAGTGTCAGAGACATCCTCTTGTTTGCCTTGTTGTGCCACAGTTAAAGTGTGTCCTCATTGTAACCTTTCTCCGGCCGTGTGGGAACAACAAAATCTGGTCAGAGGAGTCGTGACCACGTGGTGGCCGTCGGTCCGTCTGCACAAAGAAGTACGAGAATTGGTTTAAAGAGATCTAACATGTTTTCATATGGAAACATAGGTGATTGTATACATCCTCGGATGGTTATAATTTAGGTTATATTTTCTCTCTAACTTCAGAACAACTGAATGTGAAAAAATATCAATTTCTATATTTCTAATTCTTTTTGATTAACAGTTTACAACCTTCAATTTAGTGTATTTGAAAGCCAGAGTTTCACTTGGCTACGTGGCTGTAGTGAAAACTCTGAGGTGGTCACATTGAGCTGGTCGTCCTAATCAGCATCGTGTGAACCTGTTTAACAATTGTTTGAATGTCACAGGCCACAGCTTTAGTGCTGTGCTGATTACTGTTTTTTCATGCAACAAAGTTCACAAATACTAATAAAAAAAACTCTTTTGCTTTCCACAGAGTGCGGCCGCTGCCCCCAGTCCAGTGATGGGTAACATGCCTCCCAATGATGGCATGCCAGGGGGGCCTATGCCTCCAGGATTCTTTCAAGTAAGGAAAAAAAAGCCCCCTAACAGCTAACAACACAGAGCCTCCTTCGAAGCCTTTCCTTGTGTCTCCTCCTTTTCGAGCCTCTTTAGCTGACCTAATCCCTGTCCAGATGTGGTCCCTCCTCCGTCTCCCTGCTTTCATCCCATATGTCAGTGCTCAGTTTGTTAAGTCCTCGTCCTCTGCCTGATGCTGTGACTACACAGAACTGGGGCTGGCACAGGATTAGCATTTTTTATCTGATTATCATCGTGATGGGTAATGGTCGTGATTAATCACAATTTTACATCATTAATTGTGATGACTTTCCTTCCTAAACTATTATTTTTCTTTATATTCTTATGTTTTGGTTGTGATTCACAACAGTTTTAATTGGTGATTCACATTATTAATATGGCAAAAATGTCAAATATATCTACAAAATGTAGCTTTATAGCGTTTCAAGGTTTTTGTCTTTGCTGTGGATGTTGATGGTGGCTGTGGAACCCGTCACAATTTG